CCTATTGCTCAGCTGTTGATTGGCTTTAGCCCTGCTTTGGGCCCTGTCTTACCCAATATTTCTTTACCTAGATGAAGAACTGAAAGAATACTCTAATAACGCCCCTAACTCTTCACCGATGTTGTTAAGTGCGTCGTGTCAGTTCTATCTCATAGCTACCCTGTATAGGGTTTCCGAGGAGTGGCTGGTGAGTTTGAACCACCAACCTTGTGTGCAGTCACCAGTGCTGACACTGCTGCTACTCACTGAAACACACACGTGTTTATTTGTACTGAACCATTTGAAAGTTACGTTGCAGCCATGACACTTCACTCCGTCATCAGGCATTTGCTAATGACAAGGACAACAAAACCACTATCACACCTAAGAAAGTTAATAATGCCCCCATAATATCAGTTTACATTACAGCTCTCTCAAATGTTCCCCATACCTTTTTTTTTTTTGGAGAGGGGAAAACAGGATTCGATTAAAGTTCATACATTGCATTTGATTATTTTGCCTTTTTAGTCTCCAAATCTAGAACAGGAGTCCTGGTGTGGTGCTGTGGGGTAAGCACTGGATTGTGAACCACAAGGTCAGCAGTTCAAATCCATCAGCTGCTCTTCGGAAACCCTATACAGGGTTGCTATGAGTCGGAACCAACTGAATAGCACTTAACAACAACAATCTAGAATAGGAGTCCTGGCATGGCGTTTTAGGTTCAGCACTGGATTGTGAATCACAAGGTGGGTAGTTCAAACCCACCAGCTGTTCCTCAGAAACTCTACAGGGTCACTATGAGTCAGAACTGACTTGACAGCACTTAACAACACCAATCTAGAACTGACACTTGACAGCAATTAGCAACAACAACTATCCAGAACAGGAATCCTGGTGTGGCGTTATAGGATAAGCACTGAACTGCTAACCGTCAGGTTGGTGGTTCAAACCTACCAGCTGCTCCTCAGAAAGTTCATACAGGTCACTATGACTTGACAGCACTTAACAACACAATCTACAACAGTCCCCTGTGTTTTTTTGCCTCTTACCACATTGACTTTTTCGGAGCACCAAGACCAGCCATCTTGTCAAATGCTCCTTATTCTGGATGTATCTTACTTGTGTCATTATTGTTGGCGTGTGCCGTCAGGTTGATCAGACTTAAACACTTCTGCCAACAGTGCTCCAAAGGTGACTATGTCTGTCTTTCTTACCGCCTCACATCAGGAGTGAATGATGTCAAATTGTCCTATTACTGGTGGAAGTATTTGTGATCACTTGGTTAAGGTGGCAGTCACCAGCTCTCTCCCATAGAGATTCACTTTTCCCTTCTTTAATTAATCATCTGTGGAGTGAGACTTGAGCCCTTAAGACTTAACTGTCCTAACAGTCTCCGGCCTAATAAGTTTTAACTTCCATTGATGATCCTTATGGAGTCTATTATTGCACTATGGGTTGCAGAATGGTGATTTTCTAATTCTATCATCTCTTAAACGTTTACAAATCAGCATATTTCTTTTGTTTAGCCAGTATATTTCTATAAAGAAAAGCTTCCTCCCACCCATTCTCTTGCTCTTTTAGTTTCACTAGGAACTAATGGATTGTTTTTAAGATACATTATAATCCATTATTTCAATATTCTTCTTGCTGCTCAGATTGTCCCAAGTTTGGTCACTCAGCTGGCTCCTGTGTCATTTGACATAGCCCCATTAGTCTTTGATCTTGTCCTACTTTTCTGTTCCAATAAAATGTCCAAGCTCATTTGTGCTTTTTCTTCCAGTCCCTAATGAACCCTGGTTCCTTTTATTGGAGAGTGGTATTTAGAAACCTGCAGTCCTCGTGTGGCGCTGTAGGAGAAGCACTGGGCTGCTAACTGAAAGGTTGGTAGTTCAGACCTACCAGCCGCTCCTCGGAAACCGTACACAGGGTCCCTGTCAAAGTCAGAACTGACTCAACAGCACTGAACAACAGCAACAAATGTAGAAACCAAGATCTAGGTGCTTGTTGTTGTTGTTGTTGTGAAGTGCCGTTGTTTTGATTCTGACCCATAGCGACCCTGTATAGGGTTTCCAAGGAGTAGCTAGCTAGTGAGCTTGAACCACTGACCTTGCAGTTCAAACAACTTTGCAATCTGACGCATTAGCCCATAACGCCACACCAGGACTCCTGCTATTTTTTAATTCCCAGTATTTTAAATCATTTTTTTTTAATATAGGCATAAGGAATTTTCAAATTTACAAATAACTCCCAACTGTCAAGGAAAGCCAAATATATGATTTGTTGTTAAGTGCCCTCGAGTCAGTTGCGACTCAGTGACCCTGTATAGGGAGGGTTTCCAAGGAGCAGCTGGTGGGTTTGAACCACTGACCTGTGGTTAGCGTCCAGTGCTTATCCTATAATGCCACACCAGGACTAATATTCAAAATGAACTCAACAGGAATAAATCAGGATCCCGACCAAAAGATTTTAAGAAGACAAATAAGTCCCCTGCTTAGGTTGAAGAAGTACATAACTTCAAGTTTGGAGAAACTCTTTACCCTACCAAAATTGATACATGAGAACTTGCCTCTCGTTGGTTGACACAAGCCTGTAATGTTCTATGACTCTTAGAGTTCTTTCATTCAGCCAATACTGGCTACATAGGATAAGCACTGAACTGTGAATCACAAGTCACTGGTTCCAGCCCACCAGCCGTTCGCTTGAGAAAGATGAGGCTGTCTGTTCCCACAAAGACACACAGATTCAGAAACCCTTTACAGGGTTACTATGAGCCAAGACTTGACGGCACTTAACAACCACCACCAACATATGCCAATTATTGTTCTGGAAACTTAGGATATGTTAATGAACAAACCTATCAAGAAAAAAAAAATCTTAGTCCTCCTGAATGAACATTTTTGGAGGAGGATGAGGGCACATAATAAAGAAAAACCTATCCAATAAATAAGCAAATTGTTTAGTATGTTAGAAGCTGAAGAGATATTTTGGGGGCCGGTGGGGGGATATCTTAAGGTAAGGGGATGTTAGGGGAAGTTCAGATTCTTCCAAAAGGTGATATCTGAGCAGAGATTTGAAGAACGCGAGGGACTCAGTCATGTGTAATCTGGTGGTAGATTGTTACAGGCAGAAGAAACAGCCCGTACAAAAATCCTAAATCAAGGGACATACTTGCTATTTCAAGTGTACCTGGAGTAGAACAAGAGGAAGAGACAGTGGGGGGTAAGGAGTCCTGGTGGTAGGCGCTCTACTGTTAAGCAGAAGGTTGCCAATTGGAACCCACCAGCTGCTCCTTGAGAAAAAGATGTGACAGTCTTTTTTCCATTCAATTTACAGCCTTGGAAACTCTATGTGGCCGTTCTCTGTCCTGTAGGATCCCTATGCGTCAGAATTGACTCCACTGCAGTGGGTTTGGGTAGACCACTATTAGGTGTGTGGCTCTTACTGTGAGTTAACGAAATATTAGAGGATTTGGAGCAGAGGAGTATCCCAATCTGACTGCTTTGTTAAATATAGATTGAGTGGAAGCAGGCCGACTAGTTAGGAGGCCCTTGAACTAACTTGAGCAGGTGGTATATGGTCAGATTGTAGATTTGCTAGTGGATTGGATGGAACGGGTGAGAAAGGAGTCAACATTTTTAACCTGAGCAATTTAAGAATGGAATTACCATTAAATGAAGGAGCTCTGGTAGCGTACTGGTTACGAATTGGGCTGCTAACCTCAGGGACAGCAGTTCGAAACTACCAGCTGTTCTGCGGGAGAAAGATGAGGCTTTCTGCTCCTGTAAAGATGTACAGCCTCAGAAACCCTGTACAGGGTCACTATACCACTCCGAGCACATAACAACAACAACCACTAAATGAGATGGGGAAGGCTGTCAATGGAGCACAATTTGGGGTGGGTGGGGGAGAGAGCTGGAGCCACTAAAGGGTCAAGTTAATTTCAGGACCCACTAAAGGGTCAAGTCAGCAATTTGAAACCCCTGGTCTCAGCAGAGCTGAGTTCGCCCGTGGGATTGGTGATGGGCGAACCTCTGAGATTCCGCTCCAGCCTTGGGGTCCACCTGCAGGTCCCGCAAAGTTCCTACCCCACCCGATGGTGAGCATCACACGGACAGAATTCTAAGTGTAGACATCTCCACAAGGTGCCTAGACTTAAGTGCTCAGCCTAGAGACAACGTCCACCACCGGGCGGACTGACCGGTGCACAACTGTTTCTCAGAAGCAGCTAGCGCTGGCGTCAGCACTAACTCACCGGAGTTTAGTCTAGCACAAATGTGTGCCAGGATCATGGGAGGACATAAAAGGAGAACAAGACCCAACCCTCATGAGCCAAACAGTGGAGAGACCCACACATGTCTCCAAAGGGATGCCTGAACTTTGGGTCCCAGAGCCGCGGGAAGGACACTGGCTCTGATGACGGCTGGAGGGTTTGAGAGGAGGAGGGAGCAGGAGGGGGTGAAGACTGATGGTCCGCTCCCTCCTCACCCCCTCCCGCGCTCTGGCGGCCTCGATTGCTACTGATCGCCTCCTTTGACATCCTCCAGGCACACACCAAGTGGGGTGCACCAAGTTAGCACCTCTTGTCCTTTCAGCGCCCAGGAAGGAGAAAGGGTTGGTTGGGCCAAGAGTGGGACTCGAAGAGGCAGGACTAACCGCTCAACTTCCTCCTCCTTCCTCTTCCAGCCCCTCCCTCTCTCTTTCCCCTCCGCGCTCGCGGTGAGCTGTTACCGAGCTGTTGCCGAGCTAGATCGCGAAAGCGTGGTGTAGAGAACCGAGGGGGCCTGCGTTTGCCTCAGCCCACGTAACCCGGGTTCCCCCCCTCCCGCCCTTAGGTCTGAGGCGGGGGGCAGCGCGGGGGCCGGACTTCGGGGCGGGGCCGCCGCCTGTGAGTCCAGTTGAACCACCTGAGTTGGAAACCGGAGGACGCCGCGCTCGCAGCTGCCGGACTTCGGCGCGCCGAGATGGGCCGGGGAAAGCGGCCGGCCGCCCTGCTGGGCGCACTGCTGCACCCGCGGCCACTGTTGCTCCTGCTGGCTCTGCTCCTGCTGCTGCTACCGACGCCCCCGACATGCTCGCTCACCCCCCGGATCAGCCTGAAGCTGGGTGAGTGACAGACGACCCCTCGAGGGGCGCGGGCTCGGGTCTGGGGGAGGGGAGTATGGAGGTTTCCTTGACAAAGGAGAAAGGGAGGGAAGCTGGGGTCCATTAGGACCCCTCGTCTTTTCAGAACGCTGCAGGGAGAGAGAGAAGAGGGGCGCTGTGGGGCTGCGGGTTCCTTTCTTCTTTTCTCTTTTTAACTGGGGGTGGGGGGATTCTCGCTCCCTCTGCCGCACCTGGGAGGGCACCCTTTCGGCGGTGGTGAGGCCCCTCGATGCTTGCCACCCGCGGGTTTGCCTGTCCCTCTGCTTGTCTTTGATGCTGACCAGAGCCCGCCACGGTGCCGCCCCTGGAGGCAGTGCGGGTTGGAGGGGGCCGTGCCTGAAATCCCATAAACACTGGGGTTCTGGTATTCCTTGCAAGTCGCAGCAGGGCCCCGGAGCAATGGTGGAGCTGGCGGGAGCAGTGGTTGGAATGGCCGGGACTCACTCACTCTCCCAGCTCCTCCACCTTTGGCCAGCTGAAGCAGCCCCCAGCCCAATATGCAGAGATCTCTCGGCCCTGAGAGGGACCCCTCCCCGAGTGACCGGGAGTGTCTGCCACTTTGGCTCAGACCCTACCTTGCCTGGTGCTCACATCCATATCTGTGGCCCCCTCCCTTTCCAGCTCTCAGCTCCCAATCTCCTGATCCCCCTTTCATCTGATTCCTTTTCCAACTCCTCCCTGCCCCCTCAGACTTTGGAATCAGAAGGGCCGGGATTCCAAGTTCATTTCTACTTCTGGACACGTTTCTTCTAAGTGCGCCCCAGTTTCCCCATCTGCAAAATGGGCACCGTCATAGGAACGTTGCAAGGCTGTTTTGGGATTTGATGAAATTAGGTGAAGTGGGTAGGCATGACTTGTATAGGTGCTGTTTGTTTCTCCAAACCCTTTAAGTTACTGGTTGTCCTACTATGTAGAGGCAGACAGAAACAGTGTCAGACTGCTTTCTGCTTGCAGAATCCGCATCCTGCTTACAAAAGTTAAGATTAGCAGAATCAACGCTTAGTGGCCCAGAGTAAGTATCTGAAACATTGCAGAATAAGTGAGAAGATGGCCTGGGTTCATATCTTGCCTTTGACAGTAACTGTGACTTTGAGCAAATTACTTAATCTCTCTTGGTCTCGATTTACTCATCTGTAAAATAAGGATAATAATGGCACTTACTTCAAGATTGTGAAGATTAAAGGGTTCATGTTTTAAAAGTCTATAGGACAGGACTTGGTACATAGAAATTGTTCTACAAGTGTTTGTTGTTGTTAAGTACCGTCGAGTCTGTTCTGACCCAGAGTGACCCTGTATAGGGTTTCCCAGGAGCAGCTGGTGAGCTTGAACCACCGACCTTGCAGTTCAGATGGCTTTGCAGTCTGGTGCATTAACCCACAGAGCCACAGCAGGACTCCTTTACAAGGTTTAGCTGTTTATTATTATATGTGTTAGACACAGGGTTTTGCTTATGCCATACTCCTGCACACCCTGCACAGAACTGGGGTATTTCCCCCCCGGGGGGTTAGGGTGGAAGGTGGGACTGGTGTGGTGATTTGGCCACAGCCCCTTGGGTACTCCAGCCCATGAAGCAATAATAAAGAGGTGTATCCAGGCTCTCAGGTCTGCTGTCTTGCTGTGTTTTCTCTTGTGAGTCTGATGCCCTCTGCTCCTAGACCCTCTGTGTTTTCGGAGAAGGGAAGATGGGGGCGGGGTGGGCTCTGATGAACTGTTGTTGCGCTGGGGCAGCCAGCTTGGCTCACCCTAAAGCAAACCCAGCTAAGTCATCACAACCCTGTGGAGAGTTTATAAAACTAAATCTTTTCAGGAGCAGACAGCTTTCACTTTCTCCCTCAGAGCTGCTGGTGGGTTTGAGCTGCCAACCTTGCAGTTAGCAATTCAGTGCTTATCCCACAATGTCACCAGGGCTCCTTTGTTGTTATTGTTGTTGTTGTTAAGTGCCGTCTAGTTGGTTCCAAACCATAGCGACCCTGTATAGGATTTCTGAAGAGTAGCTTCGTGAATTTGAACTGCCAACCTTGTGGTTCAAACCAGTTTTGCAGTGTAGCGCATTAATGCACAGTGCCACACCAGGACTCCATAGACTGGGTCAAATACTTTTTAGGCTCCAGGGATGGCTAGAAGGCTAAGGAACTGTTAGAAGGATCAGAGACCAGCTAGAACAATTAGTTGGTACCAGTACAATTCCTAGTCCTGGCCCACTCTGCAATCCGAGACCCGTTCCCAGGCTGCAGTAGAGGCGGCTGTGCACACACCAGCAGCCCCTGCACCCGTCCCCTGGTTCACGGGTCAGGGCTGCTGCAGACAGTGACTCGTTATGCAGTGCACAAGGATGCACGCTCTGCTCACCAAGCTGAGTCCTAGAGAAAAAAAGGCCTCCTCTGTGTTCTTGGGACTTGTCTGCCCAGTTGTTGTTAAGTGCTGTGGAGTCAGCTCCGACTCATAGCAACTCTGTACAGTGTTTCTGAGGCTGTAAATCTTTATGGGAGCAGAAAGCCTCATCTTTCTCCCGCGGAACAGCTGGTAGTTTCAAACTGCTGACCTTGTGGTTCATTATGCTACCAGAGCTCCTTTGTCTGTCCAGAGGGGAACCCCTTTTTTCAGTCCCACCAAGACCCTGTAGTAGGCTAGCAGCACCCTGCCCCTGGCTTATGAGTGAGCCCACATCCTGCACAGCTCTAGGTGCTTGTGTCTCTGGATTTCCTCCTGGCCCCTGGTGCCACCTCCCTCTCCCATGCTCATGCAGGTCCTTCCTGCTGGCTAGGAGCCCTAGAGGGGAATGCCACTGCCACTGAACAGGCGAACCCTCTGAACATGGCCTCGGGCAGCTTCCTGCCTTGTCCCTGGGGGCTCGTTAGATGTTCCTGGCAGTGTGCCCATCCTGAGCAGGCCCATAGTGATCAGGGGACGATGGGCACGGGGACCAGGGCCCCTCCTTCCTGAACAAGGATAGAAGAGTGGAACTGGAGACCACACTTCTCTTTCCTGCCACTTGCCCCTACTATTGAATTCCCACCAAGCCTAGGAACCGTGCCAGACGTCTAGGGACAGTGTCTAGTTTAAAACAAAATCCCTTAAGGTGGAGAGTCCAGCTCACTTTGCATCTGGGGGTCTTTACATGGAACCTTCATTTCCATTGATCAGAAGTAGATTCTGGGGGTCATTCGGTTGGGTGCTCCATTTGCAGTCTCATCCAGCGGCCAGTAGCGGAGGACAGTCCCTGGTCTTCATGGTATGCTGGATAAGCAGAAGCCTTGCCCAGGAAGTGACTTGTCTCTAAAGGGAATGCTTCAAAGAAGTGTTTGTAATTGTGGTTCTGTTGCATCCCCCATTTCTCGGGGCAGGAGCGATGCTGAGTGGAAACAGTGCCCCCCCCCAGCCCCCCGGCATGTGAGCGTCCAGGCCCAGTACCTCCCAGCCAGACCTTGTGGAAGGAAACAAACCTCCCTTGGCTCACAGAACAGTTTTCTTGGGTCCCTGTAGTTGGGCGATTAAAAGTTGCTAATGTCCCTTTGCCCTGAAGTGCCTGGCTGGAAGGATCTTGACATAGTGTTCATGAGCCAGAATGAAATAAGTCCTAGGGTCTGCAAACTGCAGCCGTATGAACCCCACTGAGCAGACAGAGGACCATTGACAGTCAGCTGTTTGTCTTCTGACCCCAAGCAAGCCTTCAGGGTAGCAGTGATGCTGAGAAGCCTCTGGTGCTGACCACTTTCAAGTCTCTTCCTGGCATCGCTCCTTGACTTGGGCTCCTCTTCAGCTCTGTCCTGTGGGCTGGCATCTTCATGGCCTTTCCGAACAGAGTGGAAAGAGGAGTACAAGTTAAGGATGCTCATAGCCTCGCTTTGAAGGCCGGCCTTGTCACACTCACTAACTACAACCTGTGGCAAGCGTCCCGCCTGCTCCCATCCTGTTTGCACGTTGGCCAGAACCCATCTTACAGGGTTCTGAGAAGATTACATGAAATCATATATGTAAAGTGTTTGGCATTGAGCCTGGCTCGTGCTGTGCCCCCAGTAAAAGGTGGTGGTGCCTGCTCTGCTGTGGTGGGAATTTCTACCAGCCTTGCTCTGGGAGATAATTTGCATCAATTGAACATCTCCAGGCTGAGTGCTGGCTGTAAGTAGGCCCTCTAATAGGGCTGGAGTGCCAAGCCTGCCAGGCCAGAACCTCACAGTACCCGACCTCAGAAGGCACAGGAGGTTGTATAATAATGTGAATTTGCTGTTGTGAAGTACCATCCAGTCGGTTCCAACTCATAGCAACCCTGTTTAGGGTTTCCGAGGAGCGATTGGTGGATTTGAACTGCTAACCTAATGATTCAAACTGATCTTGCAGTCCAGACATTATCCTGCAGTGCCACACCAGGACTCCTGAATGGAGTGGTGCAAACCCCACCCCCTGCCCTAGGCAGGGGGCCTGCCTAAGTTAGCCTATTTTTCAAGTACCAGTTTCAGCCCTTTCCAAGTCTCTCCCCACTTCCCTCCCCACAGAACCTCCTTTGTCTGAGGCGGGACCTGCACCTCTCCCTTGCTTAGAGCTGGTTCCACTCTGCCCTCCTCCTAACCTACATTCATCTGGGTGGTGAAATGCCTGTGTGCCAGCCCGGGAAAGCGCTAAGCTTGCAAAACCCTTTTGGGACCCATCCGGATATGTTCGTCCTCCAGGTGAGGGAGACAGCGAGGATGGCGCAGTGCCTGGAGAGAGGGCTAGACTGCGCCTGTCCATTATTCCTTCCTGGGGCTGTGCACGTGCTGGGATGATTGGAGAGACTGGCATCGGGCTGGGAAGCCTCTGAGGTAGCCCCTCCCAGTGGGAGGAGTAGTCACAAAATTTGAGTCTCCTGTGATTCAGGGTTGTCTAGTTTCCTTAAGAGTCTGCTGCTAAAGAGATGCTGTTTTTCTCCTGCTAGAGCTCCCCTGCCCGTTGGCTGGCATCTGACCTACCTCCCTGTGCTATGA